AAAAAAAAAAAAAAATGATTAAGTGATACACATACTTATATTCCATTTTAAACCGGTCGTTGTTAAAATGGCTCTTTGAACACCGATTGGTAAAATTCCACACGTTGGACCTTCTATTTCTCTATCACATAATATATTATGTTTTCCCTATCAATTAAAATGAATTAAATTATTTTACCTTTTACAGTCAAGTTCCGATATAACGAAATCTTTAATCTTTTATATCAAAATTATATCATGTTCTCTCATTATAATGGTAAAGTAAAATTTTATCATTATATCGAATTTTTTTTGAAAAATATGTTGATATATCGAATATTGGTATATTGAAGTCGTACTTACTTTATCAAGCAAAAAAATCAAGTTTTTTTCAGACAAGAGATAAATTTTCCTTTCATCTTTAAGTTTATATAGATAATGAATATTTGACATTATATGATCAAATCTACCTCCAGATGCTCCTATTGCCAATACATCATACTTTGAAGACTTTTCTTCTTCTTCTTCTTTGATGCTAATAAGATCAATACATTTCATGAAATCTGTAGATTCTTGTCCGGATTCAAGTTGAATGACTGTTCCTTGAGAATGAAAAAAATGTCGAACATCATCTCTTAATGAGTCTAAATCCCCTCTAATATAATGAGGAATATATCTAAGACAGATAATTTATAATCATTTTAATATATTTTATATATTTTTCATACAAATAATCTTTTTACTGACATTCCTTTAAATTCATCGTACAAATGATTTGCACCACCATCTGCACAGATTCTTAAATAAGCTTAAATAAATATGAAACTTATTCAATTATAATGAATTAATTGTCAAATTTAAATATTCAATAATACAAATAATTAAAAACTTACCATTTTCCCATAGTGTATGAAATATATCATTTGAATATTGAATTGGTTGATTTAATATGATTAGAATATATGGTGAACCTTTAAAATGATCTTTTTTATTTAGAAATTCCGTAAATTTCCAATTAAAAGTTACTACTTCCATGTTTATTTTAAAAGAGAATAGATTAAAATTAGACCCATTATTTTATTATTTTAATTTTATTTGTTTTATCGTGATTAATCTCACTATCTTTTGTTTTGCTTATCAGAAAATCAGTAAATTTGTAATTGTGGTAATTGTTTGTAATTGTTATAATTGTTATAATTATTAAAAATTTCACCAATCATCATGTGACAGATATCCAGTTTCACCTATTTGGTCATGCTTTTAATTATTGTTTGAAACTTTAACTAAGCCTCTTTCAAAACAAAAAAGCAATTTTAAACTTTCATTTGAACAAAATGGCAAATACAATGTCTTATAACATGAGAAGTCCAGGTATAGGAAACTTTATTCAAATAATTTTTAAAAAACTTTTTTGTTTATAAAAACCTTTTTTTGATTTTATTATATTAGCTGTTAAACGACTTTTGCAAGAAGCTCGTGAATTACAGCAAGATAAATGTAACGATTATACTGCTCAACCTCTTGAAGTAAGTACATTTAAATACTTTTTTTATTAAATGTTTTAATTTATTATATTATATTAAAATATATATAAATGAATATTTTTAGGATAATCTTTTTGAGTGGCATTTTGTTATTCGAGGACCCGATGGTACTGAATTTGAAGGTGGAAGATATCATGGACGTATTCTTTTACCATCAGAATACCCGTTCAAACCACCGAATCTTATGCTTATGACACCAAATGGACGATTTGAACTCAATAAGAAAATCTGTTTGAGTATTACCGGATATCATCCAGAATATTGGTTACCAGCATGGGGAATTCGTACCGTACTTTTAGGATTACTAGGATTTATGACAACAAAATCTAATGGAGCGATAGGTGGAATTGATTATACTGAATCTGAGAGAAAAATTTTAGCTCAAAGATCTAGAAATTGGAAGTGTCCTACTTGTGAGTTGAATAATATTGAGACTTTACCAGATGATAATAACAATAACAACAATAACAACAATAATATAGTAAAAAATGATCCAGATATGCCTCAATTTTCTTTTGTTTACGAAGAGCAACAAAAGAATCCGATCATTGCAAATTCTAGTAAAAGTGTTAATTCAACAGAAATAATAAACTCTGAAAATACCACATCATCTGACGAACAGCAACAACATCATCATCAACAACAACAACAACATCATCATCACCAACATCATAATCAAAATCAACATCAAAATCAACATCAAAATCAACATCATAATCCACAACAGCAACAACAAAATCCAACACTTTCGCAAGTATCCATATACTTTATTGATGCAGGAATTTTCATACTAGTATCAATTGTAATCGCTTTGTTGACAAGAAAATTTTCATGAATTATTTTTGATTTTTAAATGTATTTTATATAAATTATTATTTATAAAAAAAATGTGTACACAATTATGAAATTATGAAAATTGTTTCTATATCATCAAAAAGATTTGTCAACTAGTATTAGATTTTTTTTTTTTTTCCCTTTTTTTTCAAATTTGTTAGTTATAATAAAAAATGAATTTTTTTCGGAAAAAAATAAAATCATGTGTGACATGTGTGATTTGTGTGACAGGAAAACTGCGCCAAACCACATTTTCAAGTAGATCAAAAAAAGAAAATGGAAAAAGCTAAAAAAAAAAAAAATCTTTCATTGTAATTTTTTTTTT